TGCACGTACAGACACACCCTTACCCAAACAGACATGACATACACATCTCCTGGTGAACAGGTAAGTCTTTTGACAATGCCCTTTGCCTTAGTTTTAAATATGCCTGTTGATAGAGAACTTGACMCTTGACCTGCTTTCACGTTTCTGAGCTCTGACGAGATACCTTTCACAATGCTTTACTTTTTCAAGGCCCGTGCTGCTTTATTTTTACAAGGCCTGAGGCCTATATCGGGTAAAGGCCCTTTTACAACTATGGCTTCCACGGGGAGGGGTCAAGTAAGCAAGTTCACTTATCCGACCCCCCCGTGGCTGGAGCACTCCGTGGAGTGTGTCATTTGATATTGATACCCCACGAGCTGAACCAGATATGATGAGAGGAGGTCCTTGCCAGAAGTTATAGCTCTTCCAGAGTATAACTCGACAACAGAAGAGTTATGGTTCCAGCTTTCAGCTCGTGGAGGCAGAGCGTTTTCTGTTTGTTGGTTTTTACATAAGGTGAGTTATCAGTCCGGAAGTATCTTGCCTGGCAGTCTGTCCGGATACATGTAGTGGAGCAAGGTCCATTCGAGATAGAGAGAGAGAAAAATGTAGCTTAGGTCCATTATTGGGCTGCACCTCGGACGGCTCTGACATCACAATTCCAAAATCCGAACTCATAACTTTTTCCACAGATGGCAGGTACGTCGCAGAAGCATATAATCTCAGCAGAGCCTCATCACAAGCATAGTGTTCCCCTCGTGGCTGAGGGTGAAAGAGCATCAGATGTTGCCAATGGTAACTGGTCCGTTGGACCACAAGATGACAAATTGGAGAAGGGGCCTACCCGACCCACATCTTATGAAAAATGTGCGGCTGTTCTCCGCTGCTGATCTGCAAAGATCAGCGGTGAATATCCTCTGCCCGTTTTTCTTAAGAAATGGGGTTCTGGCCGATCTTTGCCGCTGATCTGCAACGATCGGCGGCGAAGATTGGCCACTTTTTGGACTTAAAATCCGGGCATACAGGACCCGGTTTCAATACTGCGGGGCAGGGCCCGGCCCCACAAGGCCTCGGGAACACATGCTCCGGCAAAAAAACAAATTCATTTTCGCTGGGGGCAACCGGGAGGGAACCGGCCCGGGCCACCGGCCGGTCCAACCGGGAGGACCACGGATGGGGTAGGGGTCCCGCTTCAATATTTCTTGTTACAGAGTCCACAGGCAAATACATCACAGATGTTCCAAAAGACGTTTGCAAAACTTTCCTTTCGCAAATGTCCTCACATTCCAGCACTTGTTCTCGCATTCAACACAGGAAAAAGAATTGACACACACGGGATTTTCTTTTGCAAATATCTTCATATTCCCACATTTCTTTCTGAATTTCTTTTCATCCCTTCTTTTTTTTTTGGGGGGGGGACCATTTCTCTATTTATGCATGTCATCCTTGCGCAGGGGCCATGCTAATCTTCTCTGTATCGGTCCAACGGATGTCCCAAAGGACAATTTCTTTTCATCCCATTTTCTTCGTTCCATTTTCACTTCTGTTCTTCCGAAAGAATTTTCCAATTTGCCTTTTGGTCACACGACTTGTTGTTCGGCATTTCTCTATGGAATCCCTTGTGTTTCCGCACAGCCATTCATGTACGGACATTCCACACAGAAATGGGGAGAGAGAGAGAGAGAGAGAGAGAGAGAGAGAGAGAGAGAGAGAGAGAGAGAGAGAGAGAGAGAGAGAGAGAGAGAGAGAGAGAGA